GCTGCAGCTGTGGTTGGCTCAGGTGTATCGCCCCAACAGAGACCCCTTGGACATGGTCGTCACGATCCCGGCTCGGGTGTCGAACGCCCTCCGTTGGTGGCTCGATCAACAGCAGGTTTGCGCGGGGGTCCCGTTCGCCGCCCCACAACCGACTCTGACGCTAGTAACAGACGCGTCGGACCTGGGTTGGGGAGCGCACCTAGGGGACCAGCGCACTCAGGGCTTGTGGTCCAGGGAGGAACGGTTGCTCCACATCAACCTGAAGGAGCTGAGGGCGGTTCGCCTCGCCTGCCAGACCTTTCACGCCACCATAAGAGGACACAGCGTGTCAGTTCTGACAGACAACACTACCGCTATGTTTTACATAAACAAGCAGGGCGGGTCCCGGTCCTCTCCCCTCTGTCGCCAGGCTCTCCTCCTCTGGGACTTCTGCATAGCCCATTCAGTACAACTTCGGGCAGCATATCTCCCCAGGGTCCAGAACGGGCTAGCGGACCGTCTCAGCCGGTCCTACCTCAGGCACGAGTGGAGGCTGAGACGAGACATCCTCCGTTCTATTTTCCTGAGGTGGGGGTTTCCCCAGGTGGACCTGTTTGCCAGCAAGGGCAACAGCCAGTGCCCGCAATTCTGCTCGTTCCAGGGTCACAGTCCAGGCTCAATGGCGGACGCCTTTGCAATCCCGTGGGGCGGAAGCCTGAAGTACGCCTTTCCCCCGTTCCCACTCATTCACAGGGTCCTCCTGAAGGCCCGCAGGGACAGGGCGACAGTCATCCTAATCGCCCCGGCGTGGCCACGCCAACACTGGTTCACAACTCTGTTGGAACTGTCCGTGACCGCTCCGATAGCCCTTCCCCTCCATCACGACCTCATCACTCAGGATCGGGGTCGCCTACTCCACCCGAACCTGCCGTCGCTGCATCTCACGGCATGGCTTCTCTCTGGCTAAGTGAGGTGGAGCACAGGTGTTCCCACGAGGTCTAGCAAATCCTCCTTGGTAGTAGGAAACCCTCCACGAGGGCAGCCTACCTGGCCAAGTGGAAGCGCTTCTCCCTGTGGTGTGAGCCTCAACACTCACAGCCTTTACAGGCCTCGATACCACTGATTCTGGACTACTTGCTGCACCTCAAGCGTCAAGGCCTCTCCCCCGCTTCTATTAAGGTGCATCTGGCCGCCATTTCGGCGTTCCACCCTGGGGAATCGGGCAGATCCGTGTTCTCCAACCCCACGGTGGTCCGATTCCTCAAGGGTCTGGAGCGGGTGTTCCCCTACTCGCGCCCTCCTATACCCCCGTGGAACCTCAATCTGGTCCTCACTAAGCTTATGGGGCCGCCCTTTGAACCCCTGGCCTCTTGCTCCCTCACGCACCTTTCATGGAAGGTCGCGTTCCTCGTGGCCATCACCTCGGCGAGGAGGGTGTCGGAGTTGAGGGCCTTCACCTCGGAGCCCCCTTATACCATCTTTTATAAAGATAAGGTGCAGCTTAGGCCTCACCCTAAATTCCTCCCAAAGGTGGTTACGAATTTTCACATGGGGCAGGACATTTGTTTACCGGTATTCTTCCCTAAGCCCCATACGGACCCAAGCCATCGCAGCCTACATACCCTGGATGTTAGGCGGGCATTGGCTTTTTATCTGGACCGTACCCGACCTTTCCGTAAATCGTCTCAGCTGTTCGTGGCCGTTGCGGAACGCATGAAGGGCCAGCCTATTTCTACGCAACGCCTGTCGGCGTGGATCGTGCGTTGCATACGTACGTGTTACGAGCTCGCCAACGTGCCTGCTCCTCAGATCAGGGCTCACTCCACTAGAGCCCAGGCGTCCTCGACGGCCTTCTTGGCACAGGTCCCGCTCCAGGAGATCTGCAAGGCAGCCACCTGGTCGTCAGTGCATACCTTCACAGCCCACTACGCGGTCCACCATCAGACCAGAGATGATGCCGTGGTCGGCAGGGCGGTGCTGCAATCAGTTATTCCTTGACTCCTACCCTCCTCCAATGGTAAGCTTGCGAGTCACCTAATGTGGAATGGACGTGAACAAGCACTCGAAGAAGAAAAGACGGTTACTTACCTTCTGTAACTGTTGTTCTTCGAGATGTGTTGTTCACGTCCATTCCACTTCCCACCCTCCTTCCCCTCTGTCGGAGTCACCGGCAAGAAGGAACTGAGGGAGGGTCGGGCCGGCAGGGGTATATATACGCAAGGGCGGGGCGCCGCTCTGGCGGGAAGGGAGACCCTGCGGGCCCGATTGGAGCCACAGAGGGAAAAAGTTTCCGACGATTCGTGCACGCGGCGCGCGCACACCTAACGTGGAATGGACGTGAACAACACATCTCGAAGAACAACAGTTACAGAAGGTAAGTAACCGTCTTTTCCTACCTGCCTGGGTGTCACAACACTACCGCTGACACACTCAGCAGACACTTCTCCAAGGAACACGAATGGGAATTGCATCCCACGATACTCTGACAGCTCTTCTCTTACTGGGGTACCCTGTCGATAGACCTGTTTGCCACAACTCAGAACTGCAGTTGCCATGTATTTTGCTCCAGAGCGGGACTCTGGACCGCATCCCTAGGGGATGCGTTCCTCATTCCATGGAACAAATCCCTCATGTACGCTTTTCCGCTGATCCCACTGATACACAGGGTTCTACGCAAGATCAGAGAGGACAAGGCCAGGGTCATACTTATTGCCCCAGCTTGGCCCAGACAGACATGGTACCCTTACCTTCTGCGCATGTTCATCCATCCTCCAACAGACTGTCTCCCCAACAGACGAGATCTGCTCTCCCAGGACACCAGTTCGCTTCTCCATCCGCAGCTCTAGAAACTCCATCTGACAGCGTGGTTCCTTCATGGTTTCAAACCCACGAATCAGCCTGTTCGGAGCAGGTCCAGTACGTCGTCCTGCACAGTAGAAGAGACTCCACTCATAAGACTTACCTGCAAAAGTGGAAACGCTTCTCCGTATGGTGCTTCCACAGATGCTTGCTACCCCAGACTGCAACCCTCCCTGACATCTTAGACTACCTTTTGAAACTAAAACAGGACGGGCTCTCGCTCAGTTCTATCAGAGTACACCTCGTGGCCCTCACCACCTTCCATGACCCGCTGGACGGATATTCACTTTTTGCCCACCTCATCATAAAAAGCTTCCTCACGGGCCTGCAAAATCTCTACTCTGAGATTCATCCACCAGCAGCCTCCTGGAATCTCAACCTAGTTCTCCGAGGTATCATGAAACCTCCTTTCGAGCCCCTGGATACCTCATCCCTGCTCCACGTGTCTATGAAAGTAGCTTTCTTGGTTACCATAACATCAGCGAGAAGGGTCAGTGAAATAAGCGCCCTGATGGCCTATCATCCCTACACGATTTTCTCCAAAGACAAGGTTACTATACAACCCCACCCCAAATTCCTCCCTAAGGTGGTGTCTACCTTCCACCTTAACTAGCCAATACACTTTACCTGCATTCTATCCCAAACCTCATAAGACTCCACAGGAAGCGGCATTACATACCCTTGATGTCCAACGGGCAATTGCATTCTATCTTGACAGAACTAAGCCATTTCGTAAATCCCCTAGGCGATTTGTCTCTACTACTGAGAAGTCAAAGGGTGATGCTATCTCTAAGCAGTGACTCTCCAAGTGGATCTCTGACTGCATCAGATCCTGCTATCAGACTCTGAATGCTCAACCACCCGAGGGCATCAGAACTCATTCTACTCGGGTGATATCAACATCCGTTGCCTTCCTCCACAACATACATATTACCAACATATGCAAGGCGGCCACGTAGACATTTGACCACACATTCGCCAAACATTATGCTATCACACAGGATACCATGGCAGACGCCATAGTAGGCCACACAGTACTGTCTACCGTTAGTACTGCCGCAACTCCAAAATTTCACCATCCATAGTGGTACACATTCACATTCACCTGGAGTGGAGCACCCACAGGGACAGCACTCGAAGAAGAAGAGACGGTTACTCTCCTTGCAGTAACTGAGGTTCTTCAAGATGTGTGTCCCTGTGGGTGCTCCACTACCCACCCTCCTCCCCTTTACTTTGGAGTACTAATCAGACAATTCTACAGTAGAGAAGGACCTGAGGGGGGTGCGGGACGCCTAATGCCGCCACGAGACAGCAACTGAGCGTGTGCGTCCCAACCAGGCACTGCTACCGAAGATCTCCGATCAACGGCGCTGGGACTCACCGTCACCTGGAGTGGAGCACCCACAGGGACATACATCTCGAAGAACCTCAGGGCACGTCTTCACTACCCGCCGATCCGGCGGGTAGCAATCGGTCTATCGGGGATCGACTTACCACGTCTAGTGAAGACGTGGTAAAATCGATCCCTGATCGCTCTGCCGTCGACTCCGGAAATCCACCTCGGCAAGAGGCGGCAGCGGAGTCGGCGGCAGCGCGGCAGCGGTCGACTTTCCCGCGTCCTCACCGCCAGGTAAGCCGACTTAAAATGCGCAACTTCAGCTACGGTATTCACGTAGCTGAAGTTGCGTATCTTAGGTCGGACCCCCGCTGTAGTGTAGACCCAGCCTCAGTTACTGCAAGGTGAGTAACCTTCTCTTTTTAAGTTTAAATCATGGCTAAGCATATTTGTTTAACTGGTGGAAGAAAATGGTTATGCTATTGCAGTGAAATAGGGAGAGAGACATACATGCTCATTTAGTAAGTATTTCTTAGTTGATTTTTGTTTTGGTGTTTTACAACATTTATAAAAAGAACAGGGGTACTTGTGGCACCTTAGAGACTAACATTTATTTGAGCATAAGCTTTCGTGGGCTACAGCCCACTTCTTCGGATGCAACCCACGAAAACTTATGCTCAAATAAATGTATTAGTCTCTAAGGTGCCACAAGTACTCCTGTTCTTTTTGCAGGTACAGACTAACACGGCTGCTACTCTGAAACCTTACAACATTTATGTAGCATTAGAGTATGGATATTAATTTTTAACTTTTGTCTCACTTCCAGATTTGGCTTGAACCTATGAAACCTATTATTAAACAAGTACGAAGTAAGTACATATTTAATTTTTTTAAAGAGTTTTCCTTTTATTTTTCAGGAATTTAATTTGGTTTGTTTTCATAGTTGTTACTTGATTTTTTTTTTTTTTTTTTTTTTTTAGTCAGGTTTGCTGGTTTTGTACTTGTCATTACTATATATAGTTGATTAAACGTAGATCTACAAACTCAAACCTTCAAGATGGCTTCAAGCCCTCTAATAGTATCAAAAATTTCTAGAATATATGCCATTCATAGTTTTACTACCACGTTGAATTACTGCATGCTTTGTGGGCTATTTTGAACTAAATGTAGATGTTTCTTTTTCTAGAAAACTAACTTGCTGCTTCCTCAAAGACCTAAATCTTGTCCAATGAGTTGCTTGCTATTTGTCCATAAGGTCTCCGTTCTGTGAGATGTGAATGCCTACTCCCATTCACTTAAGTGGAGACTGAGTGTGTTCAGCATCTCATATATGATTAAGCTCTAAGACAGCCAACAAATGGAAGACTTCTTTTCCTCCTTCTATCTAAACCCCAATGTATGCTTTGCTTTGATACAGTTAATTTACAAAATGTGACGATCTTGTGTTGTGTTAGATCACAAAACGATAAAGGACTCAATTGCTTCCATTGTGGTAACACGTAGTAGCCATAAACCACACAACCTTGATCTTGTTTCTTATGGACTCTGCACTAGGGGATTACATTCTTAACATCTTTGAGATATCCTCTAAATGTGGCACGCCATCTCTACAGATAGTGTGTACACAAACTTGGGTCTGATACCAACTAATGTCTGGAATGCGGGAAATCTAAAGTCCTTAGTTGTGTTAACTTAAGCCATGACTAACGGAGCTGTTAAACCTGCATTCAGAAGGCAGCTATCTATTTAGTTATTTAGGGGATATTTGGAAAATATTTTTTGGAAGGGGGAGATAAAGGGTTTGTATTTGGACTTGTAAACCTGATTCTGGATGGAACTTGAAATTACCGAGAACCTGTCACTTTGCAATGATATACATCTGGGTAGATTGGATCAGATGCTGTTAGATTTAGGTTAAGAGTATCAGTCACATTGTTGGAGCTTTGTTTAGCTTAGGTTGTTTTGATGTGGAAAGAAACAGGAATGTTCTACACCCATTATGTAGGAGGAGGACAGTCTCTGGAGTGAAATTGTTTCCAGTCTTTGCCCAATAAAAGAGAGTTGCAGCACTGACATTCTCTGCTTTAGTTTTCATCAAAGGCCCAAAGAAAAGATGAAAATATATAGTGAGCCAATATCATTTGAAATCTAGCATGTGCAGCCTAATTCTTCAACTATGTACAAGACATTCCTCTTCTAGAACAGGGTCAAATTGGGTACTCATTTGCTGCTTCTAAATGTAGGGGTTCATGGAATCACAAGTGCAGGAACGTGTGGTGGATTCCCACTCCTGCCAACAATTTTATTGACTATGCTATACAGGGCCTTTCTTTAATAATTTTTGGAGTTATTTTTTTCTGTTGCTGACAGTAGTCTGCAGAAGCTTATGTTAATGAAGGAGGTCTTTGGCAAATGACCCCAGAACACTGTAGAAAGTTAGTATTTGGAGGTTTCTTTAGAAATTCTTCAAACTAACCTGACCAACAAGAAATTGAGATGAATTGACTTTTTTAGCTTAAATCCATGGTGCAAGTTTTTAACTTTCATCCTCTTCAACCTTAGAAAAATAAATAAAAAGGCATAGTACTAACTATAGAGAGAGGTTCTCCTGAAGAGGCTGTCTAAGTTCATTGTTCTGTAGAATCACCAATGGCAAGTTTCCATTTTAAAGGATCATCCCCTTATGCATGCCACATGGTAGCTTTTGTGTATTCAAATGGTTTCTATCTTGGGAGAGGAGACTGTCACACTGTCTGGAGTGGCTTACGACTGAGTGTGCCAATCTCAGGGCAGATTGTAAAAAAGCAGGGCGGACAGCCCAAAATGGTTGTATGTTCTGTAATTAGATTTCACCAACCCAGTGACAAATTTGAACTCCCAAAGTACTACAATAGGCTTATAATGGAGTCACAGACAGATTGAAATGTCCAAGGGGACTATCTTGCCACTGCAAATTGGACTATGTGATAAATAATCACTTACACCAAAAAACACAAAATATTCAGGTTGCTTCCCATTCCAAGAGACCAGTCACTTACCCCACATCAATTTGTACCTTAGATCTTGCACTTAAAAAAAAATGTTGGTAGCCAATCCTGTAATAAATTAGCTAAAAGTTTAACTAGGAAAAGGGAATAAGAGAGTTATTTAAAGAGGTTAAAGCATGCGTGTGTGTGTGTGTGTGTGTGTGTGTGTGTGTGTGTGTGTGTGTACACGTGGGTGACACAGTTGTAGTAATCTGTCAATTCAAAATGTCTTTTAGGGCTAACCCATGCCAAACAGCATGGGGATTTCTTTGCTTACGTTTAGGAATCTTTGTCCCTCAGTGTCCAGACAACATGAAGGAGATTGTTTCTCCTCATCAAGGATTGTTAGCCACTCCAGAGTCCAAACTGATGGGATGAGTTCATGTGTAGGTCTCTCCTTCCTAGAGGGAGTTAGGAATGCAATCAGCAGTCTCTGTCCTTTGATGCTGTACAACATGTCATTTGCCATCAGTGGACCATGTTGTGTGCTGAGCACTTTACCTTAATCAATGCTGCTCCTCCTGTTTGTTGAGTTACACAATTACAGAGGTTTACAAGGCAAACACTCAATATAACTTTATACCATGGGCTATAGAGATTATACGTGAGATCAATACATGCAGCATCCTACAGGTGTTTTATAAAATGCTAAACACAGTCTTATCAACTTGACTTCTGATATCTATTTTGACAATGCTAAGGCACAGGCAAGCAAGACTTGTTTCTAGCTATGCATTTGTAAGTGTTCAGTGAGGCCCAGGGCATTGGCATGAGCTGGCACCTGGTTTGCCAGCATCACAGAGATACTTACAGGTATCACCTGTGCAGTCATGCATCTAGAAAGTGCCTGTTCATTCTGTGTGCATCATGTACCATACTTGAATAGATTGGGGAAACTTAGATTTATACTAATATCTGCTACCTAATCCTACTGATGGCTGGGTGCTACATGGTAAATAGTTTCATCAAAATACTGTCTTTGCAGACCATGGCCTAGAACCTGGTGACATGCTAAACCAGGAGTGGCCAATCTGTGGCTCCAGAGCCACATGCGGCTCTTCAGAAGTTAATATGTGGCTCCTTGTATGGGCACCCACTCCAGGGTTGGAGTTACAGGCACCAACTTTCCAATGTGCCAGGGGGTGCTCACTGCTCAACCCCTGGCTCTGTCACAGGCCCTACCCCAGTCCACCCCTTCCTACCCCTTCCCCTGAGCCTGCTATGCCCTTGCCCCCCTGCCTCCTGCATGCCATGAAACAGCTGATTGGGAGGTGCAGGGAGGGAGGGGAAGGCGCTGATCAGTGGGGCTGCTGGTAGGTGGGAGGCGCTGGGAGCGGGGTGGGGGAGCTGATGCGGGGCTGCTAACATATTACTGTGGCTCTTTGGCAATGTACATTGGTAAATTCTGGCTCCATCTCAGGCTCAGGTTGGCCACCCCTGTGTTAAACTGTATGACCTGAGGCCATTATCTGCTGACCTAAAGTCTATATTAAATTGAGTCTCTTTTTTAGGTCAACTAGATTTTTAGGCCCTAAAAGACATTGGTGGTGGTGGTGGTGGTTGTCTTTTGTCCCATGTTAAACCTGCAATTGCTGGAAAAGGGGGTTCAGTTTTTTAAAGCTGTTTTTTGGTAACTCCTAAGAGTATTTTTCTTAAGTTAGTACTGAATATTGGAACCCCTTTTCCACACTCTCCTACTTTTAAAATTGACTTGAGAAGCAAAACTTGAAGTAAAAGTGTGTGCATTCATGCAGAGAGCTTTGAAAGTATCTCTTGTCTGCATGAACAATTTATTTTAGCTATTCTTATGGCACAAGGACATTTTGAATGGAAGAATTCTAACAGAACTGATACTGCATGTGCAGCTGTTTGAGAATGAACTAACTGCTTTATTGGTTTTAAAATACATTAATTAGCAGGCAAGTATTGAGGCATGGACTAATGAAAACTGAAACGAAGGAATGTTTTTCATATTTTAAATCAACTAACTTTTTCCTTTGTGGAATTGTACAAAATATAGCTTTCCTTTTCAAGACTTTAAAAGGGTGTGGGAAGTAGTACGTTTAAATGCTTTCCATTTTATATTAAATGTTTTAAAACTAAAATGTGCTTCAATTTCAAGTATGCTTGAAATTCTGTGACCTGAACGCTAACAGATGTTTTAGATGTGCAGGTTTCTTGTTTTAAGTATTGCAGTTGAAAAAAATAAAATCTCATTCTCCATCAGTGAGGATTGCTCAAATCATCCAAGTTGCTCAGAACTCCAACAATAATATAAAATCTTTCCCTGTACTTTCTCTTTTTTGGTTAATATTGATGTACTACTTGTTTTTTCAGTGTTTCCTTATATTTTAATTTCTCAGCAAGAAGGTGGTGAGTGGTAGGTGTTTAATGGGCTTTAAGTTAATACAGTTCAGACATGCTTACAGTTTTAGTGTATGGAGTTGATACAAATTTGTGAAGTAAATGATGCGTATGTAGTTTGGAGTCTTTGCTGACATGTTCTATGGCTGTAAAGACTTTTAAATATACTAAGAACATTACTAAAATTTACACTTGAACCAACCCTCTCTGTTCATCTATTTTGAATATACACCTCTACCCCAATATAATGCGGTCCGATATAACGCAAATTCGGATATAACGCGGTAAAGCAGTGCTCTGGGGGACGGGGCTGCTTTACCTTGTTATATCCGAATTCGTGTTACCGTAAGCGGTTCCTCTGCGCCCGCCCATTGCTTGCTGTGGCCCTCCCTGGGGCCCCCCACCCAGCTCACCTCCGCTCCGCCGCCTCCCACGAGCGTGCCGCAGCTCTGCTTCTCCTCCCTCCCAGGTTTGCTGCG